TATATATATATATATATGTATGTATATATATATATAAAATTTTCCTTACCTCGATTCTCACATGTACCTATGTATGTATAGAAATGTTGAATGAAAAAAGATTTGTTTTGAATTTTGCTAATAATGTATAAAACAAGTATATTAATGACAGTCATTCAATAATTAGAAACTGCAATTGGATAAAGCCAAAATATTACGATTAAAATTGATTTCGTTTGATGTAATTAATTCAAATTAATTTGATTTGCATGTTATTCAAAACTTTTAAATAATTGTCATATGTAAATCATCATTTCTTTTAGTTTGTAATGCGTTAGTTTCAAAAAGTTCCACTATCTTATTTTTCGGTGACAATGTGACAATAGTTCTTATAATTTTCAATGTCATTTTTGCTTCGTATGTAATAAATATAACTGTCGATCAGTGAGGGTAATAACATGTATGTTTAAGATTAAAAAATGGTAAAATGTGTTCAACAGCTAATACAAATAAAGATGGTTCTCTATATTTCTTCTTAGTTAATGAACTGTAGTCTAAATCAATTCTTAGCCTCCTGAAAAAGTCTGTAATTATGCGAACTTTATTTTCCTCTTCATTACAATTGCAATTTTTATAGGAAAAAATGATAAAGCATCTTACTGAATCTCCACGGAAGATCAAATTTGAGTTTAAGCTTATTTCTATTTTTCACGGAATGATGCTATAATTTATATCCTTAATTATAAAAGATCAAATTTCATGATTCAAGGATTCTCAGGACATTCAGGACATTTCTCTCTTTCAAACTTTAAATATTTATTATTAATAAAATTATATTACATAAATAATTATCATAAATTTTTATGATTATAATATGAGAAATATTTTAAATAAAGAATAGAACTTATATTCAGTAAACAAAATGTTAGTAGTATATGCTATTAGTTTGTCAGCAGAAATTGATCTGTCATTTCATAATCATTTAAACGATTACGAAATAACAGCTAGTTTCTGCTCAGTTTCTGTAATCTATCATTATATTTCTATTAATAGATTTCATTATTTTCGCGGACAAAATGTAAATTATAGTGAATAGTTTGCAAAGCTTTTTTTTTATAAATTGTTGTGAGTGTTCGAAATAATTGTGATTTTCTATTATTATTAAAAGTCGATAGAATAAAAATTACAAATATATTTCTCGAAATAATTGTGGGCTCATCCATATTTTGGACAGATCCATATTTTTTTTATTACGTCTAAAAATGCAGAAAAATTATATCATAATTATAATGTTTATAATCGGCAATATCATCTTCAATAAATTATATATAACCGTTTTTCTTAAAGAATTTAAAATAAAAAATTAAAACTGCATTTTACTAATTGATTAAGATAAGATAAGAAATATGTCATATTTTTATCTATTAAATTTTTTATAATCAAATATGCATAATTCGATCCTATAAAAATATTATAGCAAGCGGAGGATAAGCAAAGAAATATTATTTCTTCGCTTATCCTCCGCTTGCTATAATATTCGAGATGAAAAACCAGGAAAATCAAGGAAGACCATTAGATCGCTGTATTGCAGTCGAGTGTAGATCATGTAGAACTTGTGCAGTATCTTACCAAAGTAAGATAAAAGTATCTAAACATATATAATCTATGGTTAAAGCCAGTTAAAGCATGAACTAGTATGAGTATGCTTAGTGTTTAGTGACGTTTAGGTTTAGCAAATCAAGAATGTTAGAAATTCTTAACATTACATGAATGGAGCTTCAATTTTTCAAGACTTTTTTTCGAAGAGAAATGGATTTATGACATAACAACTAGATGTTATGTGAAAAATGATAAAAATTCATCTCACCTATAAGATGGCTGCTTGGATCAACATAACTTCAAAGTATATGCGTTAAAATATTATTAACATATAAACTATGATAGTTAATAACAACATAAAAGACAATGCCAATAAAACAAACTTACAAGCGCCAAAAATGATCTTATTTTTGTTATTTTCATGCTATGCTGTTTATATTAGCTGAATATAGCACATTACGTTAGTGTAACAACTTTTTAATTTTCTTGTTATTAATCTTATCAGTAATATGCAAATTTATCTGTATTATTGTTTTAACAGATTGGAGCAGGGTTTGAAGATAGTGGCTCGAGTGGATAATAGCAAATTCCGGCTTCTTGTTAACCGCATATGCCAGACTTTACAGTCGAGTATTGACACGAAGGTGTTCAATGAAGAGGAAGAGGAAAAGCTGTTAGTTTCCTTAGATCTGACGAAAGATGAATTAACTCTTTTGCTGGATACTATTACATCTATCTACACGCAGGCTGCATGTAGCGTTGTCAAACCATCTGTTATGGAAGCAATTATAAAAGATAATTTTAAATTAGACGAAGAAAAAATGTCAATCTTTACAACTGCTTGGATGACTTATGGAAAGGGCATTGTAGAGAATCTAAGGCAACAGTCTATTTTTCCTACTCAGGTATTTCAATATAGATAAAAAAAGATATTTGACAAATTATACAATTAGTGCGCATTGATCATGGGGCGATTGAGAGAGGAATACATATATTTCTATATCGACTAAAAAATAATATCCTTTTTATATGGTGAATAATATCCTTTTTAATATTTATTGTTTATCATGATAAATATCACTACAAACCTTTGTGTTTGAAATAAGATGTTCATAGAAACTACCTAGAAAGTAGGAAAGTCTAAGTTTGAATTTTGGCTGGAGAGATATTTTTCATCTATAAATAATTTCCTTGTAATTTTATTAAATACTCATTTAATATCAATAATATTAAAATGTAATCAATTTAATGTGAAATTAATTTTTAATTTTTTTGATACAAGAATATTTCAAGACTATCGCCCATGATTCAAAAACAAAAAAATAAAATGTTTAATATTCATTCAACAAATTAATATTACACATATTCAATGACTAAAAATATCAATCTTTTTTTTATTCTGTATTATATATATCTTTTGTAATTTATATTTATTAAACTACATTCCTCTTTTATTTGACAAGGTGAAAGATATCAACTGGTGCTTAAATGTGCAATCATCATCCTCTGCAATTTCCAAAGATGCACGACCTGTAGCATTGCTCCAACTAGATCTGATTGGTGATAAGACATCTACATTAACAATGGAGTTTGACAAGAAGCAATTAACAGAATTTTATTATAATTTAGAAAAAATCCAAATTCAGCTAGATGCTCTTAAATAACATGATTAATGTAGTTATTTATATACTATACTTGTATACTATAAGTAATCAATAGTGTAATTTATTATGTAAAAATATATTTTGCAACATGCTTTTTTACATGTTTATCAGATTATCACAAGTGCGTGCTACTGTTATTTTATTTTTGTAGTTATTTTCTAACATATTGTATATTTTTTAATAAATTGCAGTGAAAATAATTTTATTTGCATACATATACAGACGTCTGCTTTTTAAAAACAAATTTAATATTGATCTTTGTCGCAATGAAGATAAATCTTTGGTAAATTAATTCTGTGATAATGAAACACCAAAATATAGCTTCTAGATAAATATATATTTTTATTTTCTCGACAAATGTTTATGAAAATATAATCACATCTTTATATATAAAATATAATCGTACCTTTATGAAATGAATTTAAAATAATTATTACTGTTATGTTTCAATTAAGTCTCAATTTCATAACTCATTTCTTATCAGGTCACTTTATAATTTAATATAATAATATTCCAATTTGTTTTAGTTCTATAAATTTTTAATTTTCATTTTTACTATTATATTTTTGTTAGAAAAACTTTATTTATCTTGTTCATTAAAAAAAATTAAGATTTAATACTTGATTGATTTTACTACTTTTCAGATTTTACTGCTTGTCGATATCAAAATATTGAGATCAATCTAAGATGCCTATGAGCATTAATGTAATTAAATTGCTTAATTATCAATTGCAATTACATCATTATATATAAATGAATTTGATAGTAATATAAAATATACATTGAGAAATCATTGTCGATTTGTACACGTTTTTGTGGTATTTTTTATGGCTACCAATACTATTGTTTATGATGAAAACGAT